GCTCGGTCAGATGAAACCCTTCTCTAGTAATTCTTAAATCTGAGCTTTTAACTCATTGAGTTCATTCGGTGAAAATTGATAGGGAGAAATGGACACTGGGGCTGAACCTGACATTACCTCAATACCAAACACCAATTCATACTCGGGTGAAAAACCCGACAACTCTTCTAGGAACACAGTGGGGAAATCTCGCACTGCTCGAATATCCTCAAGTGTGGGTACTAAGATTCGAGTGTCGACTACGTGATCCAAGAAGGCCTCACACCTACTGTCAATAATCTTTTGGGCTTGCACAGCTGATATAATCCTCGTTTGATGGGATCTTTCACTGATCATCACCAACTTGGTTCCATCGATGGCTTTGAGCTTAAGTCATATGGCTTTGCACCTCAAACTAACATTGTGCTCGATTAACCAATCTATCTCTAAGATTAAGTCAAACTCCCTGAAGGGTCACTCCATCAAGTATGATAGAAATGTTTGATCCTGAATCCTCATTGGGCATCGTTTGAAAATTTTATCCACCAGGATGTATAAACCTAGTGGGCTAGAGACTCGAACACCTATCTCTGGGTTATCTACCGAGATTTTTATTTCTTGAACTAAGTCAGAGCAGATGTACGAATGGGTGGAATTGAGGTCTATCAATGCGGTAACTGATAAAGAAAAGACCGTAAAGGTACCTGATATAATATCTGTCGCATCGTAATTCTCCTTGGCTCACACTGCATACTATCTAGAGACCACTCTATTCTCGGCCCCAGTCTCAGATCTTGTTGTGCCATGACTCTGTTAACTAGACGCAGCGCCACCTCTTTTTGGCGGCCATTGACCTTTCTGCATTGATGGCGTCGATTGTTGAATCGCCATTGATGTTGCGCCCTGAACTCCTGGGCAATTTCTGGTAAAATGGCCCATTGAGCCACAACTGTAACAATATCCATATCCCAACTAGAATGTCCTTGTGTGGCTTTTATCGCACCTAGAACATGGGGAAAAGGTGAACCCTTCAGTCGCCTCACTGGCGACACCCTTGGAAGCTAAGTTCAATGATCTACTCCTCGAATCGGATTTATCTCCCTGAATCGAACTCTGCCCAGTCTTCTAGGACTATGCTGTCAGGGGTCTCGACAAACCCTAACCGTCTCTAGCTCTCTTAGTCGGGGCTTGTGATTGCCTCGCTGACTCAGTGGCTCTCTTGACCTGTCATGCAACCTCACTAGATTACCTAGTATGCCTATCTAAGGCTCTCTCAACTGTATTCGCCTAGTGGGATAGTTGAGCAAAGACTCTGGGAGGATCTGCTATAAGATGGGTCAAAATGTCACCACGAAGGCCCTCTCTAAAATGATAGCAGTGACGCTCCTCAGTCGGGATCATCTTGAGTCAAGTGTATGAACTGCTCCATCAGGTCATCGGTATGGATATGTCCGATGTAATTCTCTCTAAACTTGGTGAGAAAATTCTCCCAAGTAGGCCTTTCTAGCTCTATTGCCAACTTTACCGTCTCCCACCACTTTATTGCATCACTCTTAAGTAGGGAGGTGATGCACTTCAAGTTGCCCGTTAGGGTGAGATGCAACTGTTTGAGGGTACAGATCTTCTCTTTGAGCCACTGATCCACTGCGATAGGATCATCATCCTCAGAACCGAAGAACTCGGTGGTCTTATATCGACAGAGTCGCTCTAACAGAGAATCTTGGTGAATGGACATTGGCTGAGCTGGGGGTATTGGTGGGGGAGCTATATGCCTAAATACGTAGGTGAGGTCCCTAAAAAAGGTAGCCTCTTCGAACCTCCATCTGTTGGGTCTTGACAGTCGTAGGTATCCGAGATAAATCCCTCACTGATATTGGGTGGTGGTGAGGTATGACTCTCGTCTCTGCCATCCTGGCTATAATCTAGGTTGTCTGTCATAGGGTCTATATGAAATTAGAAAAGGAATGGGTTTATTATCGTCATTTCAGTCATTTAAGTACTTTGTACTCTCTAGAGGCATGTACATATACAGACATTGACTGACTTTAACCCACAAGTCCTAGAAACGACTAAATCTGGATGCTCTGATACCACTAAATATAACACCCTAACCCAGTTAGACCCAAAGACCCATGGATTATAATGTTACACGGGACTACCCAAATAGTGACCTAAAAATTTTCTTTTAAAACTGCTTGTAAATCTATTAAATTTAGACATCCATAATGTAATATAAAAACATAGTAATAAATTGAGTTTACAATTAATAGGGAACTTGCAAAATACATCCACAAAAATAATACAAAATATTGAGTTCCAAAAAGAGTTACCGTAATAGTGCATGCCCTCAAAAGATGACTCAGTACGTACTCTGAAAGGTCTTTGAAAATTCACTCTGATGCACTAGAATATCTGATGCCGATAATTCCCCATGACCTGCTCCTAAGAACCTGCGCACGGAAACACATTTTGAACGTTGAGCTTACAAGCTTAGTGTCTCACTAAAAACTGTATTATACTATATGCATTCACTAAATGAAATGACAAGTGGCACAGGTCTGAGTATACAACTACTAGACTACTAATCTGTGGTTAGCATCATAGTGCGACTGAGGGATTCTATATCTCGGAGCTCATGCACCCCTCTAGCACTACCGAAGCACCATCTGGTACTCTTAGGTGAGATCCAGAATTCTGCATCGGAACGTATACCCACTAACTTACTTCGTCGAGTCTTGGAGCATCTGGCGCCTAGTTCGCTGCTGTAGTGTCGTGGCATTGACTTAGATCCAACGACTGTCATATTTCTGCTAAGAAGAACTCGAGTGTCCTGATTGTTTCCCGAGCGTCAAACAAGGATAGTTTTATGTAAACCTAGCTATTTCTGTTTCTACTATTCTAATATTAATTATTATTCTCGCTTGAAGTCTTATTTGAGGATATACTGAAGTGTTAGGATACCTCGAGTCTAATTCCCTTAAAAACTGGCATTTTTTTCCAAAATATACTGAAAGTATCGATACTAGCCCAAGAGTATCAATACTCTTGTAAAAGTTTCGATACTTTCTACAAGTATCGATACTTTTAAACATTATAAATTTCCTGGTTTCGATACTTTCTGGGAGTTTTGAAACTATGACCCAAATTATCGATACTCTTGAAAGAGTATCGATACTCTTGGTCAGAAACTCACGAGTTTACTCGAGGAAAAGAACAAGTTTCGATACTATCCCTCTAGTATCGAAACTCAACCTGTATATAGCATAAAATAGGTGCAAAAATGACTATTCTACTAGCCCAAAGACCTTAGTGAGGTCCCTAAACATTATTAATGTTTTATGAAGATACGAAGGAGCATAAATAGGGCTTTAAACATGTTTATAACTCTAAAACATGAAATCTACCATGTGAATGCTTCAAGCTTATGCGACCTACTACATTTCATCTAAATGACTTACATATGGTATATTTGAGTCAATATTGAGTTACCTTTGATGCTATACTACAAGAAACGTCAAAGGCTCAGCCCAAAGTAAACTTTTCCTTCCCCTTAACTTAGGAGCCTTCTCCAACCTCTTACACTAAACAAAATCAAATGCAAGGGTTACTAACTATTGTTAGGGATTAATGAGGGTTTTAAAACACTTCATAAGGCTAGAAATATTAGAAAAATAGGTTGGAACCATCTAGTTTCTTTAACCATTCTAAAATTCATTTTTACAACAATGGCCAAATCTTGATCTTAAGGTCTCAAATGAAAGCTCAAGAGGTGTTGATTTTGATTCTTACCTTGGTTTGATGAAATATACTGAAACTAAACCAAACTTCCACCTTTGCTCAAGAGAATAATGAAGAAAATGAGGAAAACTTGGGAGAAGAAGACAAATGTGAAGAAAAAGAGAAGTTGGAATTCAGGGTGTGATATCACCAAATTTTAATGGAAATCAACTTTAGTTTTTAACAAGGGTATAATTGCTTCCTTGATCCCTCCAATTCTGACTGCGGATTAAAAACATCCTTTTTATTCACTATTGGACTTACCCCAAGCCCAAATCCTCTTTAATTTGGGTCAAAGCTTCCTACAAGCTAAGGAATTAAATTAAGGCTCATATCGGGTTAGCCCAATACTTCTAACCCGAGATTCGGGGTGTTACATATACATATATATATATAGTATCCATTTATATTTAGTGTAAAATCTGATTTTACTCTTTTAGGATCGTTGGACGAGATAAAATCAAAGGTTGAGATTAACTCTCTTTTTTCATGTGAATATCTTTTCATTTCTTATCGTTAATCTCAATCTTTGATTTTCCTCACCTAACGATCCTAAAAAATTGTAAAACTTTTTAGTTTTACACTATATAATTAGATCCTAGCCTTATACATACATACATACATATATATATATATATATATATATGGTTTGGGGTTTTAGAAAAAAATTATGATTTGGGATTAAGGTAAAAAAGTTATTATTTTGCTGTGAGTTATAAATTTTAATTAATTCCAAATAATTTATTTATTTAAATCTGATGACTATAAATTAAAATTTATTAGTATTACATTGTGTGAGTGAATCATGCCTCACACATATATTCTCATTTTTCTCTAATATTATTTTATTAAATGAGTTAAAAGATCAGTCAAGTTTTGTCTTATGGTTAAACAATACCAAATAAGTTAATTTAATGTGTCACATCAGCCTTCTATTACTATTACAGGATGATGCAAGCGACAAATTTGTTATAAAATATAATATTAGTATCTATTTCATTATATTTGAAACTTCAGTACTAAAAGAAGAAATATTCACATACTTCTGTGACCATTAAATGTAGTTTACCCTATTTTGTATTTTCTATATTCATCTCTTCACGCAGTTTCACAATGTTATTAATTAATCCATTTTCTGATTCGCTATTTGTAAGCAAGCATTTGTGGAATCAATTCTCACAAATATAAAAGGAGAAATATTAAACCCATTCTTCTCTTTTTCATAAATTATAATCTAAAATCTCACTGCAAAAACTCCCTTTTTTGAGAATCTCGGGCGCTCCAGTGCTTGTGGTGTCCATGGCGATTGCAGCGGCAGCTGTTATCGTCCCATTGGGCCTTCTTTTCTTCATCTCCGGCCTTGCTGTCAATCTCATCCAGGTTCTTTTTAGGTTTTATTTTTATTTCTATAGATTTCCTTTTGTTAGGTGATCTGCTTCATGTTTTGGTTCGATTAACTAGATCCTTTTTCTTCGCTCTTTGGTAATTTTCACGTTCTGTGTTTCTATGTTTTCTTTTCAAATTTGCTGTGGTTGCATTGAATGAAATTGCCGAAGAATGGCTTTATCTGTTGCCTTTTTATTTGGTTCTTCAGCTGGGAATGTTAATAAGCTTGCATGTAACCCGGGCTTTGAATCTACCTAACTTCTTAGCTAATAAAATTTAGTAAAAATAAAATAAAATAAAATCCGAATCTTTTGGTTTCAGCTTGATGAAACCTTCAGCTTTTGTTACCGTGCTTATTGCCTTATCTCTGGATACCATTCGGTGCTGTAAATGAGACTGAGAGAGAGTCCATTTTTGCTGCCTTTTTTTTACTGTAGAAATCTGAATCTACTTTGTTAGGAAAAGCTAGTTCAATTTGATTTTTAGCTGATGTGTAAATGTTGTTCCTTTTTCCCTTTTTATCCTGTTGTTGGTGACCATTTTTTTCTCTATGCAATGCGGTTCTTTTTCTTTTTCCAGGCAGTATGCTTTGTTCTCATTCGACCTCTGTCCAAGAACACGTATAGAAAGATCAATAGGGTGTTGGCAGAGTTGTTGTGGCTGCAACTAGTTTGGCTTGTTGATTGGTGGGCAGGAGTTAAGGTGTTATGAGCTCCTTTATTTCATTGTTTAAAATCATTTGTTTTTTAATCACTCAATATATTCTTTTTTTTTGGGCATTTTTGAAAATGTATGGTGTAATGCTGAAATCCTTTATGAGATAATTGTAGATACTGAAACCATTTGTGATATGTAAGTTTGTGTTGATAAAATGCTTTCCTTATTTTTCCTACTTTACTTGCAAACGGTTAGTCTCAAAAATAATCTTAAACAATAAGATATAGAACCCATGCCAAGATTTTCACTGCTTTATTTGAGACTCTGATGCGATATATATTTTTTTTCAAGAAAGATGAACAAAAAATTTGCTATCTCAACCTGAGATAGGATGTTACTTAGATAAAGGGGTTAGACAATAAGATTTTTGTGCAGCATTGAAATTTTCATGCCTTCAGTGACTGATAATTCCACTTTCTAGAGTATATTTGATGTCCACAGGCTTAATGATTCCGCAGTTTTTAGCTTGTCTCAATAATTATGCACATATGACTTGAACTATTGTTATGAAGTTTTGTTTACTCTAAGGGTTGATAGATGTTCCCAGAAATTGTTTGAGCTATTGAGGTGTTATTTATTGGCTGTTAGTGAGCCAAATTCTATTAATGCTGAAAAAATTGGTATTTTTGTGCACCGGAAGTAGTCTTGCAAAAATGAGCTTTTGACCTTTGAGACATCTTTTCTGCAGATTAAAGTGTTTGCGGATAGTGAAAGCTTCAATTTAATGGGTAACATCAATCTCTTTTTTCTAGGAAACTTATTCTCAGTATTCAAGCTACATGGATAATTGGTATTGTTCCATCCTAACCTTTTTTCTTCTTCAAAGGTGTGCTTATCATCTGCTTTTTTTTAATTTGCAGGTAAGGAACATGCCCTTGTCATATGCAATCACAGAAGTGATATCGATTGGCTAGTTGGATGGGTTTTAGCACAGGTCTGTAATTAATTTATTCCAGTTCCAATTGTTTCACATACTGTTTGGTTGAGGTGTGCTTTAAATTTTTTTCCATTGCACCGTTCAGAAATTTACTATTTGGCATTTTAACTTAATGATCTTTGTCCCTTGTCCTGTATGGTTAAGAAACAATTGAATTTGGTTTTTGGCAGCGATCAGGTTGTCTTGGCAGTACATTAGCTGTAATGAAGAAATCATCAAAATTCCTGCCAGTATGTGTTGGTAATTGGTATCATACGTTTGAAGTTTCAAATTTGAACAGTGAGATTTTTCATGATAAAATCTTAATTTTCAGCTGATCTTTACACATTTTTCTCAATTTTGATTGGTAATTGCTGATGGCCATGCTGTGTACATGTTTTTCCATACACTGTGCATACAGACCTCCACTGCACATGTTCATGTATGTAAGTGTTTGAGATGTGATTATCTAAGTCAGTAATTATGCTAATCTGCAGTAATTAAACATGCTATTTTTTAATATGTATATAAAAGAAAATTAAGATGACTGGTGAGGCACTCTGATCCAGATTCCTCAGTTTTTTTTTAATTTGTCACATTAGCTTGTGCTGTCAAAGTCAAACTGCAGTTGGGTTGGTCTTTTAAAAATCTTTTATTCTTAGTCAGAGTTCAAAGTTTTTCTTGCGTATTGTCTATGAAGTGAGTGTGTCTAAGTAAGGATTGATGGTCTTAATATTTTTCATGAAGTTAGTCTGCATGATTCAGAAGCAGTTTCCTGTTGAAGTAGTAGTCTTTCTTTTATCTGAACTTCTGCATCATGAAACAAATGCTATTTTGTGCCTGGTACAATTAATTTTGATTTCGTAGTGAAAATTGTCAGTCTATCTCATGTTAGATGGTGCAGGTAATTTTAAGTTTTTGAATTTGTTTACTGGAGAAGCAAAAAATGTTATATTTTTGTGTACTCGTGAAGAATGATAATAAGTTCATTCCTGATATGTTCAGGTCATAGGCTGGTCAATGTGGTTCTCTGAGTATCTGTTTTTGGAACGAAGCTGGGCTAAGGATGAAAGCACGTTAAAGGTAAAAGTTCAAATTTGGATGCACATGTATCAAAATTACATGTTTTAATATTGCTTTATTTACTGGTGTGTTTGTTCATGCTTGATTTTAAACTATCCTTATCGATCTAATACAAATCTTATGGATATTATGTTTGCAGGCAGGTCTTCAACGTTTAAAGGACTTCCCACGGCCGTTTTGGCTGGCACTTTTTGTAGAAGGAACACGCTTTACACAAGCAAAACTTCTTGCAGCTCAAGAATATGCGACCTCACAAGGATTGCCTGTACCTAGAAATGTTTTAATTCCTCGTACAAAGGTCAGATTCTTGCCACTCTTATTTTCTTGAATTCCTTGTTACCTTTTATCTAGGTGCTTTTTTATTTTATTTTGCATGGATATGTAGGTGCCTAAATTTAGATTTTGGTATTCAAGTTGATAACTTTCTTCTGCAAAATTACCATATTGTATTCTTGTTTAATCTAGGTAGATTTTTTTGCAACCTCCTGCCGACACTTTCTTTCTGGCCAATGCAAGTTTCTTGCTACTTTGGCACACTCATTCAATTCTTAGTCAGCCTCAACCATTATACATGTGCACCCTCAGATATGTACCCCAATCTATAATTGAGATTCAATCATGCTGGACTAAGTGTTAATTTTCTCATTTGTAATGCTGAAGTTTGTTATTTTGCTCATGACCAATTATCTTGCTGGCCTTACTGATTGCAATTCTATATGAAAGTGTATGCCTGATAACATTATCTCTGTTGCTCCAGGGTTTTGTTTCAGCTGTAAATCATATGCGTTCATTTGTTCCAGCTGTTTATGATATGACAGTGGCAATTCCTAAAAGCTCACCCTCACCTACAATGCTTAGACTTTTCAAGGGGCAATCCTCAGTGGTAATTTTAATTCCAAGCTGTGTAAAGCAAGTTTAACATCTTTGTATAATTATGTATGTGTTAATATGCATGTTAACACTGCTCTCATTTTGTTTAATATTGATATGTCCTTGGAGGGTTTGCTCCGCATCTCCTTAAGGCTAGAAGATTTTGCTTCTAAATTCAACTTGATGGTGAAATTTGTTTTCAGTTTGAGTGCATAACATGCTGTCAAATGTCTAATGAATCAAAGACACCATGAAGTAAATGAGCAGGCTTCAGAACTTGTTAATCCTTTCTCCACTCTTTAGAATTTCATGGAGTGAAAGCCAAAAGTTTATTGGTCATTGGCACAATAAGAATCATTAACTACTTGTGCATACTTTGTAGAAACTTTAATTTGATTGTGTTGCTAGGTTTATCATATATGTGAAGCAAATTAGTCGGAAAATATGTGTTTCCCTATTCTTTTCATATGTTTGAAACACGTTAATCCGAAGTTGTGATGAAAATATACCTTGTTGATAATTGAATGACTCACTTTTCTATTGGTTCATTCAGTTGATGAAAATATACCGTTTCTTTCAGGTGCATGTGCATGTCAAGCTGCATCTTATGAAGGAACTGCCTGAAACGGATGAGGGAGTAGCACAATGGTGTAAAGATCTGTTTGTAGAAAAAGTGAGTACTATTCATCTGGTGTAGTAGAATAGTGCTATTCTAGGTGGTCTTGTTTGACCGTCTGAAATAATCTTATGATTAAAAGGAAAATAAGGATTACTGCCACTTTGAAAAAGTAGTGTATCTTGGTCCTTCTTTTGCATAATGTTTCTTGTGCATGCATTAGTTTCAGACTTATTGTTTTTTTCTGTTTGATTTCTCATATAGGACAAGCTGTTGGACAAACATGTGACTCAGGACACTTTTAGAGACCTACCGTTACAGGATATTGGACGGCCGATTAAACCACTTTTTGGTGAGATTTTTTATATAAAATTAACCAAACTTTGTTTTGATTTTATTTGAATACTGTTGTTATTTCTCTTGTGTTTGTAGTAATTACTTGTGGAACTGAATATGATAATCATATTCTTGTTCTTGGATCAGGTTGTTTCTTATTGGGCATGTCTCCTGGCTTATGGAGCTCTCAAGTTTCTGCAATGGTCTTCACTTTTATCCACGTGGAAAGGGATTGCGGTGTCAGCAGTTGGCTTAGCCATTGTTACCATTCTCATGCAAATCATGATTCTCTTCTCTCAGTCTAAGCGTTCAACTCCCGCCAAGGCTTCACCCGGGAAGCCCAAGAACAACGGTTAGAGTTCAGAGGCAAGACGGGACAAGCAGCAACGGTAGGTTGAGCTGGGAAGTACATTTCACCAACCTAAAGTGTGTACTCTTACTTTTCAGTTGGCAATCAATATGCTTTCGTTTTAGATGGAGCTTCAAGCATGTCTTTTGGTCATAGCAAGGATCCAAGTGATACAAGCTTGTATGCGTATTTTCAGTTCGTTGTTTTTGTGGTAAATTAGGGTTTGTTTGCAAAGACAGTGCACTTAAAATCTTTAAAGCGTTTTGCTTTGATTCCCCCCCCCCCCTTCCTAGTGCTATTTGTACATGTCAGTCATTTTAAGTATTTTTTTCTCGTGTGACTCGTTAAGAAATGAGTTTGCAGATCACGTTTTAAATCCTTTTTTCCATGTTTGCTTATACTTTTCAACAGATCTGAAATTTTCATGTAATATCATATAGGGTAACCTAATGAACTGGTCACTTTCTTTTATATTTGTACATTTTCATTCATCGAATTTAAAGTATTTTAGTTTTAGTCCCGTTATCAATTTATTAAGTTATGGTCAATTATTTTAACGATTTATTAAATCGTGATCATTTACGTTATCGATTGTTATATTTTGGTCATTGAGCCGTTAACTACTGTTGGTTTGATGATATGGTAAGTTTGTCAAAATGAGTTAATTTTTAAGTTTATTTCAAAACTTCAGATAAAATATTAATTTGACATCAAAATCTAAATAAAATATCATTTTGACCCTTAAATTCGATTAAAGTCTCTTATCATCGGCGCCATTCACCACCTTCAGTTTCGGAAAATTTACAATTCACTCATTTTGACATTCTGAAAACAAATATAATGTCCATTTCATAAAAATAATTCGAAACTCAATAAATTTAACTTAAAACCCTTTGATTACCTTTGAAATCAAACGAAAACAATAAATTTATTATTAGTATTTAAAAAAAAAACAAAGATGTTTAAAATTGAACTCTATATCAGGATGAAATTCGTATAATTTTTGTTTATAATATAGTTATGTTATTTTGTTACGTTTAAAATATTAATTATAATTTTTAATATTCTTTTAAAAAATACAAGTGCCTCTATATTTAAACCGTTGTCTCGAGGCATTTATTTTTTTTATGATTTTTTAAAGCAGTTATAAATAGATTTAAATATGTCAACTCATCAGCTCAGATTCTTTAAGCGTTCATTCAATTCAATATACATATGTCAAGGGCTTTTGTATGATTTTAAAATTCAAATTTTAGTCTTTATATTATATTCTTTGTTGTACTGTTTTTTATCTAAACATTTTGGTCCATGTCTTAATTTTAATTCAATTTCATTGATAGTTGTTGCCCTGGTAATTACCAAAACAAAAATTAGACCATATGTTTACAATTTTTTTTTATCAATCTCACCCTTAATTTGTAAAATTAGATAAAAATATTATTAATTGAAAAAAATAAGCTTTTTAATTTTCCACGTTTATATGTTTTTAAGGTCAAAACAATAAAAAAATATAAACGTATTGGAAAAGTTATTTTATTTTTTATATCTATCATATCAATAATTAATAAAAAAATGAGACGCTAGGTTCCTTAAGCAAGGTCAGGGTTCGAATCCTGACATTTTCGAATGGAGCAAACTGGGTTGGGAGGGTCACCATCGTCTCTGCAGTACCCGATCTGGATTAGTCGGTCAATAGATCAGATATCAATGATTAATTTAAAAAAAAATAATAAAATGAAATATCAACTAAAAGACACGGATGATTTAAAAAACAATACTATATCTATATGAAATATAAAATATATTTTAAAACAGTACATAGACCTTCTACTATAAAACAAATCCCAGTTAAGTATAAAATCATGAGCATCATCATCGCAGTCATTTGCTAAACAATAATGATTGGTTGAGTGATGATGTTTAATAATTAATCGTCTGAAGTTGGATTTATAGATAGCAGTTGCTTACGAAATGTGTCTTAGGATTGCTTGAGCTTATCAAAAGGAGACATTAGGGAGATCCATAACATAAAATCACACATTCCGTTTTTGATATAATTATATTATTTTATCTTTTACTCTTAAGATGGAATAAATTATTAAAGGAGTATTGTTGATGGGAGAAATAGAACTGTGAGAAATTTTAATGGTTTATCTTCGATTTAAGTAAAGATTTATAAATGATTGTTCAATGACGAGTTGAAGAAGATAATGAATAGTTGAAAAAGGTCAAGAGATATAGTATCTCTCCTTCTCTAGTCTTGTACGATGTTTTATATATAAGTCCTTTGTGTTGATGTTAGACCTACGGAAATGATAATGATTTGTAGGTTGACATAGTAAATGACTTGATCGTCGAATGGAGTAACAAATTTAGTTGGTAAATGATGTGGGTTTATTGGTGGTTATATCAAGATATTGTTGCAATTGATCGGAGGATATGAAATTCCAAAAGATTTTGAGATTCAATCGGTGGAAGAATAATTATAAAGTTGTAATATGAGGAGAAGGTCCAATAATTACTATTTTCAAGTGATTTAAAAATAGATTTGGTTCAAAGCAAAAACGAAAGACTATTCAATGGCCAAAGATGGGCACCATGATCTCCCCAGTTTTGAAACGTTTGGGAAAAGAGCTTCAAAGGTTGGTCCAACTTGGTTTGTTCCAAGAAACAAACGTCTGGGTTCACGTTTTGCATTTTGGCGTTCAGTTGGGGAACTCACAACAGTACACTGCTTAATCTCACTTTAACAAAATTGTTTTGTTAATCTATTTGAACTTTAAATCCAGGGATTAAAATTTTCAAAGGACAACAGGATCGGTTCATCCCTTTTTTTAATCATACATCTGAAATTAAAGCAACAGAATAACTGACGTCTAAGCTTCAAACGAGGAGAAGCTTTTAGTAGATTGATGGCACCCAAACTTTTTTTAATATTTTTTATTACAGCAGCATCAAAAGGTTCAAAAACAATATCATTATTATACCCCATCAGTGATTAATATTATTATTAAAGGTGCACATTATGAAATCAAAAAGTTTAAGCTAATCCATCAATGTACCTAAAGCCAACCAACCAAACCTAATAGTAATAATAAGGGTAAATTACTCCTATAGTACATAAACTATCAATTTTGGTCCATTTTAGTATCTAAATTTTCAATTTTTTCAAAATCATGCATAAGGTTTAGTTTTTGTTTCATTAGTACTCCGCCGTTAAAAACTTAACGCATTTAGTACATAAACTATCAGTTTTGGCCTGTTTTAGTACCTAAACTTTTAATTTTTTTTAAAACTTAACGTTAAATTTTGAGCGAGGTACTAAAATGAAACAAAAACTAAACTTTAAGTATGATTTTGAAAAAATTGAAAGTTTAAATACTGAAATAGACTAAAATTGATAATTTAGGTACTAAATATATAATTTACCCAAATAATAATAACAATAACAACAACAACAACAATTGATTGAAATGTTTTGGCACAAAAACTGTGATGGATTCTTCTAAGGGTGAAATACACCATTTCTCACTTAACTTTACTCTATTTTCAATTTTTCTAATTTAATTATTAAACTTTCCGATTGCTTCTATTTTGATCACTCTGGATTATTTTATTATTATTTTTGTATGACATAGCATGTAACACCTCAAATTCTGGGTTAGTAGTTTTGAGTTTATTCGAGAGACAGGTGGATCTCATGGAGTTCGTCATTAAAGTCGTTGGGCCAAGTGAAAGTTTAATTTGGATGGAATTGGGCCTAAAAGTTCTGTTGAGTTAATCGATTGACGGAATCGGCCAAGAGGGGGGTGAATTGGCAATTAAAATTTTTGTGGAAGCTTTTGTAGAAAATTTGAAAGTAATTGCACAGCGATTTACAGTGGTTCGACTTTCTCAAATAAAGTCTACGTCCACTACCTTAGCTATCCACACTAAGGATTTTCCAACAAATTCACTAATTTGTTCTTTCTTTTGAGGCCAAAGAGATAACCTTACAATTCCCTCAAGAGTATACCCCAACTCTTGAGAACACTCTTTTTCCCAAAGAGAAGATTACAAATTTGCAAACTTACAAGAAAACCTCACAAGGTAAGATGTTTGCACAATTCTAGAACAAGAAAAGAACACTCAAAGAAAATTACAAATGAGCACAATAAGTGTTCTTTGAAAGCAAAATGAATATTGAATGAAAATTGGCTTGAATTGCACAAAATTTGTGTTTGATGCTTTCTCTCTTGTTTCTCTATGATTTCTTACTGATCAAGGGCTTCAGAACTTGTTTAAATACACATTGAATCACTTCTGAACGTTGGGGATAATTAATGAAGATAATATAGCTGTTTTAGTGTGAAAACAATTAATAAAACAGCTTGGAGCGTGGGGGGAATCGGTTCCTCCTTATAGGGAATCGGTTCCCTAAGTGTAAAATTCAAATATTTCGACCGTTGAACAGGGGGGAATTGGTACCCCCTATGGGGGAATCGGTTCCCTCCGAGCATTCTGGAAATCTCGGAGTCAAACCATTAAGGGGGGGAATCGGTACCCCTATGAGAGGGAATCGGTTCCCTCTGAGCAATCTGGAAATTTTGGGTTTGAAATGGTTCGAAATTCTTTGAAAGATTATTTTGAAATTGTTTTAAGATTAAAACTTAATTTTACACTTAAGTAAGGATTAAAAATGATTTTTGAAATATTTGAAGTAATGTTTTTATATTCGAATAAATTTATCGAACATACTTTAGAAAATCATTTTGGAAAATCTTAAAATTCATTTAACTTAATTTGTTATATCGAAATATCAAAATGTTTTCAACAATCTCCCCCTTTTTGATATAACAAAACATTTTAGTAATTTTAAGATTTTGAAATCAAGTTTTGAAATTATTCCCCCTTACTTTAACACTTCTCCCCTTAAACACACTTCTTCTCCCCCTTTTTGTTAAATCAAAAAGATTCAAATAAACGTGAAAAATATTAAGCCATTTGATTAGGTATATGTATGCATAAGCTGCTAAGATCACAATTAAGAGAAACGTTAGCCATTAGTTCCGTAATCAATATTCATAAATAATGTGATATGGCAAAATTGGTCATATTGCTAATAATGATGTAAATGATGCAATAACGAATAAAACACACCAAACATATAAGTTCACACCATCCATAAATCCAAAATCCAACAATCCACAAAATCAAACAATTCAAAATGTTGAAACAATATTTATTTTGTTCAAAGTTTTAAAGCTAAACACAAAATTAAGCATCCGGATCGGTAGGAGGAAAACGGGCTCGCATAGCAGCCATTTCAT